TTTCTTATGTGGTGCTGAGGAATCGAACCCAGGGCCTCATGCATGCAAGGCAAGCGCTCTACCACTGAGCCACCTTCCCAGCCCTCCTCATGTGTTTGCCATTTTTATCTCTTCTTCTGAGAAGTCTCTCTTTAGTTCCCTTGCCCATTTAGTAATTGATTTGTTAGGTTTGGGAGGGATTCGTTTCTTGAGTTCCCTGTATATACTGGATATTAACCCCGTGTCTGATATATTGCTGGTAAATATTTTTTCCCAATTAGTTGGTTGTCTTTCTAGCTTGGTTGCGATCGCTTTAGCTGTGCAGAAACTTTTTATTTTAAGGTAGTCCCATTTGTCGAGTTTCTCTCCAATTGGTTGTGACCCTGGGACTCTGTTCAGGAAGTTCCTGCCCGTTCCTATAAGTTCAGGTGTCTCTCCTACTCTGTCCTCCAGTAGTTTCAGAGATTCAGGTTTGATGTTAAGGTCTTTAATCCATTTTGAGTTGATGTTGGTGCATGGTGATAGGCTGGGGTCCACTTTTAATCTTCTGCATGTGGCTGCCCAGTTTTCCCAGCACCAGCGGTTGAAGAGGCTGTGTTTCTTCCACTGTATATCTTTGGCTCCTTTGTCAAATATCAGCTGACTGTAGGTATGTGGTTTTATTTCTGGATCTTCTATTCCATTCGTCTTCGGGTTTGTTTTTGTGCCATTACCATGCTGTCTTTGATATTATGGCTCTATAGTAGAGTTTGAAGTTCAACATGTATAGCCCTCCCATATTGTCTTTATCCCCTAGAATTGTTTTGGCTATTCTAGGTCTTTTGTTGTTCCATATGAATTTTTGGACTGTTTTCTGTATTTCAGAAATGTACTTCATTGGGATTTTAATAGGAATTGCATTGAATTTGTATATTAATTTTGGCAGTATTACCATTTTCACTATATTAAGTCTGCCTATCCAAGAGCATGGAAGGTCTTTCCATTTCCTAGTGTCTTCTGTAATTTCTTTCTTTAGCTGTTTATAGTTTTCATTAAATAGTTCTTTTACATCTTTTGGTTAGGTTAATTCCTAAATATTTTATTTTTTGGAAGGTTATTGTGAATAGGGTAGCTTCCTTTATTTCCCTCTCTGCTTGTACATTGTCAGTGTACAGGAAGGCGAATGATTTTTGTGGGTTGATTTTGTATCCTGCTACTTTGCCGAAGTGATTTATAATTTCTAGGAGTTTGGAGATGGAGTTTTTGGGATCGTGAAGGTATAGTATCATGTCGTCTGCAAAAAGGGATAGTTTAACTTCTTCTTCCCTATGCGGATCCCTTTAATGTCTTTTTCTTGCCTTATTGCCCTGGCTAAGGGGTCTAGGACTATATTGAAGAGGAGTGGAGACAGTGGGCATCCTTGCCTTGTTCCTGATTTTAGGAGAATTGGTTGTAGCTTTTCCCCATTAAGTATAATATTGGCTATTGGTCTGTCGTATATGGCTTTTATTGGTTTAAGGAATGTTCCTTCTATTCCTATTTTCTCCAGAGCTTTTAACATGAATGAATGTTGCATTTCTGCATTTGTGGCGATAATCATGTGATTCTTGACCTTGGCTCTCTTGTTGGATAAAATTTATTGATTTACGTATGTTAAACCATCCCTGCATCTCTGGGATGAAGCCTACCTGGTCGTAGTGTATAATGTTTTTTATTTGTTTCTGGATTCTGTTATCTAGAATTTTGTTAAGGATCTTTGCATCTGTGTTCATCAAGGAAATTGGCCTGTAATTCTCCTTTTTGGATGGGTCTTTGCCTGGTTTGGGGATGAGTGTGATATTGGCATCATAGAATGAGTTTGGAATAGCTCCCTCCTTCTCTGTTTCTCTGAAGAGAAGTATGGGTATTAGTTGAGGAGTATGGATATTAGTTCTTCTTTAAAGGTCTTATAGAATTCTGCTGTGAGTCTATCTGGTCCTGGGCTTTCCTTGTTGGAAGACTTCTGATTGCTTCCCGTATCTCTTTGTCCTCCATTTCTTTTACTGGTGTCTCTCTTACATTGCTGGAGTTGCTTCCTGTCTTGTTCTATCCCTCCAATGCTGTCTCAGACTGAGTCATATGCCTCTCTTCTACAGTCTCAGCATTCTCAGAGCAAGCCTACTTCCCAGCTCCTTTCCCTGGGTCCCTTTTTCCTTCTTCCAAATCCTGCCTACCTACTGGATGCAGTGTGTACTGTGATGGTAGAACACTGTGATCTGGCTGTAATCTGATCCTGCGTTGGTAGAACACTGTCTGGCTGTACCTGTGGTAGTAGAACACTGCTCTCTAGCTGTACCTTGAACTTGTGATGATAGAACAGTGGTCTGACTGTCCCATGATTCTGCAGTGCTGGAACACTGTTCTCTGGCTCTACCTTGAACCTGTGATGATAGAACAGTGTGGTCTGACTGTACCATGATTCTCCAGTGGTAGAACACTGTTCTCTGGCTGTATCCTGATCCTGTCATGGTGGTTGTACTCTGATCCTGTTAGCTGGTTGTACCTTGATCCTATGGTTACAGAACATTGATATCTGACTGTACCATGATCCTGTGACAGTAGACACTGTGGCCTGGCTGTACCCTGCTCTGCAATGGTTGAACATTCAGATTTGGCTGCACCTGATCCTGTGGTGGTAGAACACTGCAGGCTGGGAATGTGGCCCAGTGGTAGAGTGCTTGCCTGGCATGCATGAAGGCCTGGGTTCAATTCCTCAGTACACGTATACAGAAAAGGCTAGAAGTGGCGCTGTGGCTTAAGTAGTAACGTGCTAGACTTGAGCAAAAGAAGCTCAGGGACAGTACCCAGACCCTGAGTTCAAGCCTCGGGACTGGCAGAAAGCACTGTAGTCTGGCTGTAACCGGATCCTGTGATGGTAGAACATTGCAGTCTGGCTGTACCGTGGGTCCTGTGGTGGTAGAACACTGCGATCTGGCTGGACCTTGATTCTGCTGCAGCAGAACACTGCACTACAGCAGCACCCTGTCTACTTCACTTGCAAACAGGACGCCTCCACCCGGCACTCACAGAGATCCATGCCACCACCTGGGCTCTGGCACAGCTCCAGTGCACACATGTTCATGATACTCCTCTGTCACCCCAAGCCGTTGTCAGGACTCTGATGTCACCACAGCCCCTGTGATGACTTACGTTAACTGGACTGTTCTTGCCCGTCTGCCTGTCTCTGGCTAGTTGATTGTGCTGTAGGGCCATAGCTGTGTCACTGGAGGGTGTCTAGCACCTTGTAAAGTTAACATCTGACCTTTGAGAAGCCCTGCCAAGAAAGGGGAATTGAGAGTGAGCCCTCTCCCTTCTAGGCTGGCCTCAGTGACAGCCTGGACTAGGGAAGAAGAGGGTGAGCCCCCCCTGCCCCCCCTGTCCAGTGATCCTGCAGATTAGAGGAGGACAGAGAGAGGCCTAGCCTCTCCCAGGCCCTCTGCTGTCAGCCTCAGCCTCGCAGAAGCAGTGGGGCCTGGGAGAAGCATCTGGTCTCTGAGCAGGCGCCTCACTTGCTCATCAGCCACACACTGAATTCTCTGTGGTGTGAGTTTGTCAACTGGGACATGCCCAGAAGTGGGATGAGGTGGCGGTCATGGCTGGTGGGACCAAAAGCTCAGGGTTTCGATCCTGGACACTGACAGCTTGAACGGTTCAGAGTCTCAGCCACATGCCCATGGCTCACGCCTGTCTACTACTACTAGCTACTCAGGAGGCTGAAATCAATGAACCAGCAAAAAGCTAGACGTGAAGGTGTGGCTCAAGTAGTAGAGCACTAGCCCTGAGTGAAAAAGCTAAGAGACAGCACTAGATCCCTGAGTTCAAGCCCCAGGACCAGCACATACACACACACAGATTCAGAATTCTCATGAACTCAGCGTTCAGAACAAGCAAAAGAAAACATAAATGCATAACCCGGGCTGTAAGACACGGGCAGGTGTGTGGTGGGGAGTGGGGGCCAAGGCTCACACCGCTGGGCAGAGCTGGCTCTCCCTCCTTGGAGCTGTGGCCACACATCACTTAGCTTAGCAGCCCCATGCCTCAGTTTCCCCATCTGTCAAAAGAGGTAGCTCCCCCTCTTGAATTGTTGGAGGTTAAATTCAGGTGATTTATTGAAAGAGTTTAATGGGATTCCCAGAACATTCCAGAAACTTGGTATAAGTTGTTCTTATAGTAGGCATGAGGGGAAGACCTTAGAAGTGTGTGGACTTGGAAAAGACCCTGCATCACTTCATCACAACTCAGTGGACATTTTTTTTTAATTTTTTTTGGGGGGGTCTGGTCGTGGGGCCTGAACTCTGGGCCTGAGTGCTGTCCCTCAGCTCTTCAGCTCAAGGCAAGTGCTCTACCACTTGAGCCACAGCGCCACTTCCGGCTTTTTGCTTATGCAGTGCTAGGAAAATCGAACCCAGGGCCTCAGGCATGCAAGGCAAGTGCTCTACCACTGAGCCACCTTCCCAGCCCCGACATTTTTTTTTTTGTACTGGACCTTGAACTCAGAGCACAGACACTGTCCTTCAGCTTTTTCACTCAAGACTGGTGCTCTATCACATGTCCACTTCTGGCTTTGTAGTGGTTCATTAGAGATGAGAGTCTCATGGACTTGCCTGCTCAGGCTGGCATCAAATTTGATCCTCAGATCTCAGTCTCCTTAGTAGCTGAGATTACAAGTGTGAGCACCGGTGCCTGGCTTAAGTGTAAATTGTAAGGCAATTTTCTCCTCACTACACGCAGGGAAGGTAGAAATGCGGAAATATCAGAAGGTGCTGACAGAAAATAAAATTTTTTTAAACTATAGACTCAGACTCAAGAACATATGGAAATGGGAGCTAAAATTTCAGTTGGCATATAAGTCCACATTACACTGTAGCCTAACTATTTTAATCCTTTACCCCCTTCATCTATCCCCCCCCCCTTTTTTGCCAGTCCTGCTGCTTGAACTCAGATCCTGGATGCTGTCCCTTAGCTTCTTTTGCTCAGTGCTAACACTCTACCACTTGAGCCACAGAGCCACTCTGGCTTTTTCTGTGATCAGTTGGAGATAAGAGTCTCACAGACTTTCCTGCCCAGGCTGCCTGGGCTGTCTTTGAACTGCGATCCTCAGATCTCAGCCTCCTGAGTAGCTAGGATGACAGACGTGAGCCAAGGAAGTCCCAATTTCCCAGTGCATTGTGAGCACGGGCGCTGGCCTGAGGTGGCTGACCCTTCCCCATCCCCCGCCCTGTGACGAGGACGTCCTCAAGTGGACACCCAAGGTACACCAGCAGTGTGAGGCCTGCAGCCCTCAGGGCCACCCAGCCAGGCTTCTGCTGAGCCCCCGTCTTTGTTTGCCCACTGGGTACATGTCTGCCCTTGGTTCCCCAGGTGGACCAGCGTGTGTTCCGAGACCTCCTGGGGGAGAAGCTGCCCCGGCTGCACGCCCACTTCGAGCAGCACAAAGTCGACTTCACCCTCATCACGTTCAACTGGTTCCTGGTGGTGTTTGTGGACAGCGTGGTCAGTGACATCCTCTTTAAGATATGGGACTCCTTCCTCTATGAAGGGCCAAAGGTGGGTGTGTGCAGCTCGGCGTGGCTCAGTTCAAATCCATGTGCATGTGCACTGCAGCCGTTTGCCCCAGAGCTCAGGAGGTCCCCCCCAGTGCCAAGGCACTGCCAGTTGGGTATGCATTTGGAGGTCTTGCCAAAAGGCATTAGTTTATCTCCTGGCCAGGTGCCAGTGGCTCAGGCCTGTAATCTCAGCTACTCAAGAAGGCTGAAATATAAGGATGGTGGTTCAGAGCCAAAAGTCTGTGGAGACTCCAATTATCCACAAAAACAACAAGAGTAGAGCTGTGGCTCAAGTGGTAGAGTATCATCCTTGAGCAAAAGAAGCTCAGACACCATGCCCAGGGCCTGAGTTCAAGTCCACTGGGAAACAGTGGCTGACACCTGTAATCCCAGCTATTCGGGGGGCTGAGCTCTGAGGATTGAGGTTCAAAGCCAACCCAGGTAGGAAAAGTCTGTGAGGCTCTTTATCTCCAGTAAACCAGCAAAAATCCAGAAATGGGGCTGTGGTTCAAGTGGTAAAGGGTCAACTTTGGGAAAAAAGCTCAGGGGTAGCATCTAGGCCCTGAGTTCAAGCTCAAGAGGGTGTGAGGGCTGGGAATGTGGCTTAGTGGTAGAGTACTTGCCTGGCATGCATGGAGCCCTGGGTTCGATTCCTCAGTACCATATACACAGAAAAAGCCAGAAGTGGCGCTTAGGGACAACATCCAGGCCCTGAGTTCAAGCCCCAGGATTGCCCCCCCCCAAAAAAAAATCTGGTTGGACTCCAGTAAATGTCACTTTCCAAAATGACAGCACAGCTTGGCATGGGCCACCAGGGCCCTTAGATGTGGAAAAGCCTTTTTTTTTGGGGGGGGG